AGCGAGGCCGAGCGCCAGTCGGCTTGGCGTACGGGGCCGAGGACGGCGAGGACGGCGCGTGCAGCAGCGGCGCAGACTCCATCGTGCGGCTTGAAAGGGGATGCGCAAGTGGCTGCCTTCCCGACTGCCGGTCAGATGACCTTTGCGCTGATTGGCTTCCAACAGCCAATCCGAATCAAGTGCAATCTCAAAGCTTGAAGCATCCAGCTGCACTTCGTGCCCTTTCTTGCCCGCACGCCACTGGAGCGTCCGGCGGCTTCACGCACGTCATGCTCGTGCACCTTGTTGTACGCTCTGGTGCTGCGGCGATGAGCTGGTTGCTTGCATGAGCAAACAGCCTGTCGCGCTGGAATCTCAACCTACTACCGGTACTGTGCACTATGTCAACCCATGACCGAGGCAGTTGGTGCATGGTGCATGCAGGGTGATGGTGGTTCCGAGGTCGCAAATCGAATGCATTCGTCTGCCCCTTTCTGTGGCGCTATTTGTCATGACGCCGTCTTGGATCATTTAATGGTGATGAACGCCGCCTACCAGAGCTCGGAGCGCTCACCCAGTGATATCATATCCATCGCGTCGGGCCGTTCCTTCGCACCCCATGTCAATGCATTCAAGTATTCTCGTGGCCAATCCACACGGCTCGCGCTTCGTACACCGTACTGTAGCTCTAGGATGCAGCGCAAGCGATTTGCCCGTGGGAGGTCCTGCACTCGACTTGTGTGCGCCAACACAGCACTCTTGGAGTGCGAATTACCCGAAGAATCGTTTCTTGGTCGATGGGCTGTCAATGAATCTGTTCCGAAATCAAACTACCGGTATGAGGAAGACCACGACGCCGTCAACACTGGCTGGCAGCATAGACGGACGACGTCGCGTCGGGAGCATCTTCCGTCAGCAGGAGAATGCACTATTTCAACTAAGCTTAAGCTTACTATTGAACCGAGCTCACTTCATATTGCGATGCACGATCAGAAGACCTTCTCTTCATCCACAAACACCGGTGGTGGGTACCTGTCCGGATACGACCCAAGATCGTCCGCAAAAAATCAGACCACCAATCACAACCGGCGCAGTTGTGTTCGAAAATTTGCTCGCTCGAAATCCGTAGCTGCTGTTTCTCATTTCGCGACTACCACCACCGAGCAGCAGCACTATGTGCACCGACGTCTCCAAGGCCACGCTCATCGTGCTCAACATCGCGTTCGTCATCGCCGGCGCGCTGCTCATCTGGGTCGGCGCGTCGACGGACGAGGGCTGGTCGAAAATCTTCGAGGCGGCGTCCAACGGCTCGTCGGCGGCGGCGTTCTACCTCATCCTCGCCTTTGGCGTGCTCGTGCTCCTCATCGCGTTCATGGGCCTCATGGGCGCGCTCAAGCGCCAGAAATGCCTCCTCTACACGTACAGCTTTTTCGTGTTTATCGCGATCGTGGTTTCCATCATCATTATGATCACGGGCTTTGCCGGCGCGTCGACTGCCAGCAAGTGGAGCGACGCCAAGTTCCCGGCCGAGGACGCCGAAGAGTCGGTCGCGAAGGCCTTTGACTTGGCGTACTGCGGCGTCATGCTGGAGCACTACTGCTCGGATGGCAGCCTCGGCGACGCCATTGCCCTCTTCTCGCCGTCGGCGTCATCGTCGCTCACGCCCATCATCAAGGCGCTCAAACTCGACGCAAACGACCAGGTGGGCTTCTCGGGTCTCTGTAAGAGCCTCAACTCGACGGCGGTGGGCGCGTTCGTCGTGCCCAACGTCGAGACGTTTAAGACGATCTGCGAGGAGTGCAAGAAGACCGAGGACATTGACTTTAGCGAACTCTACAAATGAGGCCAGGAGAACTGCCCGCCCACGTCGGTGACGGCGCCGTGGTGCGTCAACTACTTGGGAAGCAATAAGTACGACAACGCGACCGACATCGTATACCCCAAGTGCCGCCCCGCCGCCCTCGACCTCTTCGAGTCGTTCGCCACCAAGCTCGCAATCGGTGGGCTCATCTTTGCGATTGCGGCGCTCATTGTGTTCATCATGGCCTGCGTCGTCGCGCGCTCGGGCGGCAAGGGCGGCTCCATGGCCT